GCATGTGTGCTGTGTATACCGTGTGAACTCATTAATACCAGTCCGTATATCTGCACATTGCAGAACCGATGTGTGCCGTTGCCACATCCTCTCGAACATCGAATACCGCTGACTTCCTGACGTCCCACGCTACAGTACCACAGAATAAAGCGACAAATTTGTCCGATCCGTGAACGACAGGCAAACACCAAATTCAACTGCAACACACTTACTGTGGATCTATACGTATTACTTTGTCTAATTGTACAATTCAGTGCAAAATTTCCGACAATTTGGCTTCCTGGTTCACTCGTTTCGTAAACGTCAGCAACCACATAATATGCAGCTTAATTGGATCACTGGCAGATACATGTTTAGAGGGCGTTATGGATAACAACAAGCAGATAAATGAGGATAAACCTAGAAGTTGACTTCACTGTAACAAGCTAAAATCTGGGGAAAGTAATGCTTATAAAACTCAGCGCAGCTTGGCAATTTTGAGCGAACTATAAAACTAGTGAATATAAGAAGCCATTCCTAAAACCGGGAGTATCCAAGGAATTTCCATTATATCAACAAAACTCCAAAAGTTGGAAGAAAAATCGAGCCAAGTATTACGGTGCAGCCCTCGTACCAACAAAAATCTCCAGTTCCGGCATATCACGTCACCATACACTGTATTCTTTAACAAATAGCGTTTGATGATCTTTTGACATAGATCTGACAACTTGAAAAGTGTCAAGTTGAAGCACTTGTTCAGCATCAAATCTTTTGCTTTGACAGTTGTTGGTCGGTCCTGTGAAATGACCCTATGGTACGGTTCTTGCTGAACAAAATTAGTAGAGATGAGAAATAAATTTTCATACAGAAGACACCTCTGATTTTCTCTAAATAAAAACCAACTTGCACTGGTTTGCCACGTGAATTCAACCTACTTGACCAATCGGCCCCAAATCGGATAAGATGAATGATGTAAATCGGAAAATATATCCTAGGACGGTCTCCTGTTAATGAATCGTTTTCAGTTGCATTAATCTGAAAATAACCTTGTACCAGGTATCAGCAAAACTTTCTGTTACTCGGTCGCATAAGGTATGATGTTTAACTTTTGCGCGTTTACCCACTTGCTATGCTCCGTGGTATCGCGTTTTTTCTACGTTTACTTTTGCCGTTCCGATACGATGCATCGCGTTTTGCTCGTGGACAATAGTTTGGCCCAACAAAAGGCCTCATCGTCTCCGGTCTTCGTTATGGTTTTTGGTACGGCGAAGTCCTGCTGAAGAAATTGGCTGCTTCACCGGACATTGTAGACTTTATACGGAACGCGAGTGACTTTTACAATCCTGATTAGTGAACAGAACAA